TGAATCTAGTTCGGGGAGGTAGTTTCTGTTCTATGTTCGAATTTTTGGTCAATAACCTAATGCATTTGAGTTTTGCAATGGCTTATGCCACCATACGGCCTCATGTGGCGTCAAGGATTGGATTGGATGGGAGAAGTCGATTCAGCGTGTTGAAGCAAGAAATTGATTCAACTTTCAAAAAGTTTCCATGTTGAGGGTAGAAGATGGACTAGTCATGAAGTAAACTTATCCTTGTCAATCCTTCATAATCCATCTTCTACCTTAAACTTGGACAAACTTTGGAAGTGACATCCGTTTCTTCGTTCAGCAATCCAATCCCAGCCACCAAACAAGGCCATAATGCCGAACGTTATCAACTTATATCGGGATCGAAAATAATATACAAGTAGACAACCAATGGTGTTTATATGGATCCCTAGAACTTTAGATCCATCTGGAAAGTTGTAAGCTTATATTTTCTTGTGTGCATGGCCATGGTATCCTTGCCAAGGAAACTTCAACGTTTTATATTTGTTTAGGAGTTTAGTAATTACTTTTGTTTTTCCTTCTGTTTTCAGTCCTACTGTTGCATTTTAACTTGAAAAATTTGGAAATTTCCAGTTGTTGGATTATGTTCGATATATTTAATTGGATTCCTGATATTTTATCATGTAGTTGTGACAAAAAGAACTAAAAAGTTCGTCATGCCAAGGTTTTTATTAGTGAATGTGTACATTCAAGACCACTAACTCTCCCTCTCTCCCTCTCTCTACTACTCTGTTTTTATTTTATTTGTCTGATTTTGTGTACCCTGGAAGCTTCTTAATTTCTCGTTTGTAAATTGGTTAGGGAAACAGTGCGAGTTGAATACCTTTCTCTTCTTCTGAAACGATTGACTGTGCCTCTCCGTGAACTGCCTAAGGTTGGAGATAATCTATTCTAGTATATGAATATATACGTTAATTGCAAAATATGTAAAACAGTTGTGTTGATGATCAGTTGTAAATCCATCTTCTGTGTTACACACTATCAGGATGAAGCAGTGCAGGAAGTTGTGGAGTTCATGAATACTTACTCCATTAGTCAGGATGACTTTGATACTATTGTGGAGTTATCCAAATATCAGGTAACCCTTGGTGCAGGCCTGGTTGTTGCTGTTGCTATACTGCTCCAAAATTTTCAATTTTTTCTCATTGATATGCTATATATCAGGGGCATCCAAATCCGCTAGATGGCATAGTGCCTGCTGTAAAAGCAGCTCTGACAAAAGCATACAAAGAAGGAAGCAAAACAAGGATGGTACGAGCTGCAGATTTTGTCACTATTCCTGGAATGAAAAAGGCCCCTAAGAAGCGGATTGCTGCTCTTTTAGAACCATCTGATGATGCAATTGGAGAGAACAATGATGATACTTTGGTTCAGAGTGAAGATGAGAATTCGTCAGATACAGAGGACTTGGGTAAGTTTTTCTGTCATCATTATGCTGCTCGTTTTCTGTTTTACGGATAATTCATTTTGCTGGGACTACTTTAGTTTTAAGTTGTCACGACCATAAATGGCCATTTTGTTCTGCTGTGTATTTTTTTGAAAAGGTGTTGCCTTAAGATGTTTCTGGAACAGAAAGCTTTATCATCATGGTGCTGTAAAATAAAAATGGTGTATGCTAACATGTTGTACTCCATAAGAAATGGAGGCATGTTCCATGCTCTCTGGGATTCTGAAATTGCAGAAAGGAAATACAGGGAACGCTTCTAGAAATGTTCCTTCGTGACCTGTTGGTATACTATTGCCTCTGAGTGTGCATCTCTATAGAATATTGAAATAATGTTCCAGGATTTTGCTCTGTTCTTGTCAAGAAACTTGACATGACCGGAAATGGTTTGTTTTCGAATTACTGTAATTCTTTTATTAAATTGCTGGAAGAACCTGAGGAAAAAAAGTTTTAATTATGTTATTAGGGTTACGCAAGCTAGTTTGCTTCTGTACTCAACAATTCTGGTTTGTACCATCTGACTTATTGGTGCTCACTTAGTGATTGTTTTTCACAATGTTTCAGAAGATTCTGCTGTTGGTGAGAAGCTGCAAAAGGAACTGCAAAGCTTGAACACAAAAGGTAACTGGTAGTATCCTAAATGGATGCGTCTAAATTCGAAGGCTCTCATATTCAGGCTATTTAAATGTGTGTGTTTCCAGAATGCATGATTTATGTGTTCCTCATATCGTGCAGGAGTGCAAGTACAATTCGATTTGAAGGGTGCGCCAAATACAAGTGCAAAGAAGACACCAGCTGGCAGAGGTAGAGGTGGTTCTGCTGCTGCCAGCGTGAAAAAGGGCGGCCGAGGTTCCGGAGCTGGTGCCAAGAGAAAGAGATGAAGGGAGATGAAAGAAGAGATGGAACTTTTTCCTTGCTATGGTGTCGGCAGGTTTTGTAAGCGGATGTAAGTAGATATTTCCTCCTAACACAAATAATTTTTGTAGGTGAGGATGGTAAGATCTGCAGTTGGAGTGTTTAATTTACAAGGCTGATGCTGATGCTATTTGTAACTTCCAGATTTTGTTTTGACTGCAACAGCATCTTTTAGAAATGTGGTAGACGCGGGCTAGTCAAGTTGACTAGAGCAGTGTATTCCTCTTCATGCAAGCTCGAATTGCTCTCTATGTAGTTTGGTTTAGATTAAGTACCAGTTTGGTACAGCTTAACTTTGAAAAAAGCACCGACCCAAAAAAGCTGGGGAAATTGTGTGTTTCGTAAATACATCAGCTTTTTTTTTCAGTTTTGGATGAAAAAAACCTGAAAACCGAAGTAGCAAAAAAAAACTTAAAAAAACCGGCTTTTTTCTTAAAAGAGGCGGGTGAAGAGGGTTGATTAATGAATTTTTCAAAATTCCAAACATGCCCTCATTTCTCTCTTTCATCGTTGAGATATGAAGTTAGTTGAATCATCCATCATAGATAGACCTGGCATTCGTGTCGTGTTTTTCGTGTTCGTGTCGTTTTCGTGTCATACCCGATATCTTAACGGGTCGTGTCGTGTAACATCCGTTAAAATAAACGGGTAAAATGACCCGATCCGAAATCGACCCGATAATATTAACAGGTAATATCAACGGTTATAAACGAAAAATCACAATTTAACGGTTATTTTAGCTTCGATTTTGATGATTTTTACATATACACTCCTCGACCCTATAAGAATGTAATAAATAAATTTGATCTTTAATTTAAAGTATTTACACTAGTGGATACCACAAAAACTTATTTTATACTTAATAGAAGTATAATATTACTCTAAGTGTTTGTTTAATCTACCGTTTTGATGCAATATGCATTCTACGAAACTTTTTTCAACGATCCAACCGTCAAACTTATTCGTACACATTCCGAGATTGCAAACGTAAAAAATCATAAAAAACAAACATTCAGAGATTATGTAACGGAACAAAAGTTTTCGACGGTTATAAACGAAAAATCACAATTTAACGGTTATTTTAGCTCCGATTTTGATGATTTTGTACATATACACTCCTCGACCCTATAAGAATGTAATGAATAGATTTGATCTTTAATTTAAAGTATTTACATTTTTTATATATGAGTGATTGTATATATATTTTTTTACATTTTTTACACTTCTACAATAATTATTATTAATTTTATTAATTTTGCCCTCAAATAAAAAACATTATTCATGAGGGTTTGAAGGATTTTAAAAATCTAAACGATAATATAAGTGTAACAATTATCTATTCGTGAAGGAATAATGATAAATCACGAGTGTTTATATATTCTTTCACATTTTTCATATTTGTATGTATATCTTCTTAGTTCTTGCATATACAAATACTATACTAATATATTTTAATTTTGGACAAGAATATGTTATGTAAAATTTATCCTAGTAATGATAATAAGGAACTCTCATAATAAAAATAAATAATGACTAAAACTTTTTTTTATTTTTTTATAATTTATATAGAACAATAATACAAAACTATATATTTAATATAGAATATATTGTATATATTAATATGACTATTGTATTTTACAATAAATCTTTTAGTAATTAAACTTTAAAATTATTAAAATAATTTTTTTCTTAACGGGTCGAAACGGGTTACCCACGTGTTACCCGCGTGTATACCTGTTAAGAACCCGTTATTAACGGGTTCTTAACAGGTCATCCGATAGTGACCCGATAAGTTATCGTGTTGACCCGAAACCCGTTATTTTCGTGTCGTTTTCGTATCGTGTCACCGTGTCGTGTCAAAAACTGCCAGGTCTAATCATAGAGAGCACAGAGCGTCTCCAGGTCGTGAGTCATGAACCACGACTTGTTTTTTCCTCTTTTAGCCTTCTCTTCGAAGTAAGGAGTTAGTTTCGCTCTTCTCCGTCAGCTCTAAATCCCTAATTCTCAGGGCCCGCTGATCTCTGTTCGTCATCATAAGACGTGAAATTCATAAATCATCAATTCCGTTTTCAAACTCTTGGCTGTAAATTTATGTATCTATGCTGTTGAATAGGGACATTCTTTTTATTTATGAGAATTAGGCCACAAATTTTGAGCTTGAAATACAGGGTGGTTGTGTATGGTTGAGCTTGAAAATTCCTGGAGGCTGCTGATGACGGATTCACCGTCGTGGGATTCGCCGGAAGGGGGCGGCTTGTCCATGGTTGAGAAGTTGCGGATGAGGTGTTCGATTGCCTTTCACCGTTTAATTGCCTGCCTATTTATTTATAACAGGATAAATTGGATATCTTAATTTGGTTGCTACAGGTATTTTACTATGGTAAATGACGAACCATTGGTATGCTCTTGTGCTGGGTTTGTTTTCGTCTGTGGATTAAGCGTTCGCCTGTTTTCAAGCAGTTTCGTGTTTTACAGATAACCGGCTTTCTGCAACGCTCACAGTCGTGCATCACCGACGGTTGTGGAGTTCATTAGCTGCGCTTCCACTGTGGAATTGCGAAATCAAAATAATGTTTAGGTGGTCGTTCTCGGTTAACCTCAATTGAGTGAGTACTGGAACAAAACAATGTAACAATACATAAATCGCATCGAAAACTAACCTTGTTTAGGAGATTAATTGCAACCTTTACAGTTAACCATACGAGCACCAAACAATAATGTAATGAGAAGTAGACGACTGACCATATATACACCAGACCTTGCACCGTTCTGGTTTTTCCTTTCGCCGCTACAAAGACCTGTCTATATGATAGAAATGGTCCTCAGCTAACTTTACATCCTCTGTACAATACATCTCGAGACCCATCTTCAATTATCGGGTCCGTCCTTCGTCGTTCTTCGTGTTCACTTTCTGGCATGCTACAAATAATCTTGGAACTATGCTAAAAGAAACTTTGAACTCTATATGGGAATTTCCACAAGGATAACGTTGCGGGAGTAGTGAGTTTGGTTTGGTACGTCCAAAGAAAGCTCCAAATTTATTTAGTATTATTTCGGCTGGAAATAGCTATCATAAATAGAAAGTTTATCAAATGCCTCGTAGTTAACCTTTAGTCCGAGAAATTGGCTACCCAATTGAGCACAACCAGCATCCGGCCACCGGCAGCCCCCATCTCGCATGCCTAACGGGCATAACGTTTCACATACTCGGCCAATTGGGTTGATGGAAGCATCATCATCTGCCATAACCGTGATTGAAAGAGAGAGGTCTAATTTCTCATCACGCTGCATGGTGCCATCCGCTTCTCTTTTTAAATAATAAGGTAATTTCTGCGAAGATGCAATTTGGCTGCTTTCGATGCCAACGGTGCAATCTCCACTGTTTGAAAAGTGGACCTTGCATCCCAGTGACTGTACAGCTCGCTTTATGGCGTCACTTTCCCTGCTTGCCCTCTTGGCCATCTGCTTAGCTGAGCTGCTAACTTGCTTCTCATTTTGCAATTCTGCGGTTAATGATTCCATTAAGGTGGTGATTTCTTTAGCTTTCCTTTCTGCCATTTCTTTTTCCTGGAAGGAGTTTTCGACATAACCAACGTAAAATGTTATTATTTAAGTCACATAAGCAAATGTAACATGCCATTTAAGTTTGGAAACAAAATATCAGAGATGTAAGAAACATAAACCACCATCTTCCACAAACATATTAAGCTTGTCAATAAGCAAAAATTTATCGAATATACCAACCCCTCGTTGTATCCTTGTTTAATGGGATCAGCGTGAATTAGGGATGGTGATACATCTAGCCAACAGAACTTGCAACCAAAAACAGAAACAAACAGTTGTTTTCTTTTGGTTGGCCTTAAAAGGACCTGCTTGACACAAGTACGTATTTTACTCAGGTTTATTTACCAAATAATTGACCTACAATCCAAGCAATAAATAACAACCTACGGTATAAAGTTTTGGCTGACACCGTGAGCAATAGCAACTGAATAGAGATTATAAATAAAAGATTAAACACAAATGTTTCAAATTGTGTTTTTGTTTCCATTTCCTAATTCAGTTTGTATGCATTCTTGCTCCAGTTTTAGCTAGGATCTTGATTCAGTTGGTTTTTCAGTTTTCCCAGAGACCAAAAAGGGCCTTATTCTGGAGTTTCTAGTACACGAAAATATTAGGCAACCTAAAAGACGACGTAACCAACATGACGCATTTGCAAGCTGTAGAGCAAGATCAAGAACTTGCCCTGTTGAAAAACATTGGTTAAAAAGAAAAAAGCTAGAGAGACTATTCAGAGGAAACATTTAGAAGCCAGAAGTATTAGTACCTTTTGTAGTTCAGAGAACTTAACATCCATTTGCCTAAATTGAGCTTCAACCCCTCCAACTTGAGCCTCTGAGGAACAAGCCCAACGAAGATGGAATTGAGGCCAAAGAGTTGGTGCTAAAGCTGCTGCTGGAGGTAACAGTGGACCATCGTGTTTCAAGGGATCATATAAGTAGTTATAGTGCACATGAGAACTTCCCTGCGAAGCACGTAAATCAGCAAAATATACCCACATGCATCCACAAGCATCGGGTACACCACATTGCTGCCTCTCCCTTTCACTGAAATACATGAGCAATCAGGAAGAAGTATTGAATAATAGTTTACATCAAAGTTTCTGGGTCAACTATTCGATCAAATTGAGCACAATTTTCCATGAGCCACTTGTTTTTCGAGAGGAGATTGGTAGGTTTTTCCAGCCCACGATAAGTTGTCCCAAGTCTATAAGGAATTATAGTGTTAGAGGATTAAATTGTTTTTCCAATTGGAATTGTTTACCCATTTGGAGTTAGTTTCTCAATTGGAGTAGGATTCATAACTAGATTCCAATTAGGATTAATAATCCTTATTGAAGAAGACCTTTATTATGTCTATATAAAGGGGCTATTGTACCAGTTTTCAATTTGAGGGAGCAAAACAATAAATTGTATACCACTCAAGGGATTAGAGTGAGAGAATATTGTAAAGTGTGTGCGAGAGAAAAGAAAAGAGAGAGTGTATTTCTTGTTCTTTCAGGTTTTTCGTCAAGTCCTAGTTCTAGAGATTTGGCAAGATTATTGGTTGTACTCATTATTGATAAAGTGAAGGATTGTTGTTGCTGTCTTGTGGACGTATGCACATATTGTCGAACCACGTAAATTCTTGGTGTTATTTATCTTGGTTATTTGTTTTTCGATTTCTGGAGTTTGTTCTATTTTTCCCATTCTTAAACGCGATATTCTCAACATAGATGCGAAACATGCTATATCAAATTTCTTACCTATTACATAAGAAGTTTCCAAAGCGACACGATAGAACACAGTCCAATAGATCCACCAGAAATGCCTAGATCACAAAATAGTGGAAACTTTAATGAACTATTGTTACCTGACCACAAAGAAACATTAGAAAAACAAATAAAGTTGTTCGGTGACAAATTGAACTGCATTTGTGAGCAGTTTCATCAAAAAGAGAAATGAGTGCACTTATGAAAGAAGGATACATACCGAAGAAAACTCAAAAGCAAAAGGATACATCCGCAACAATTGTGAAACACAATCAACCCACTGCATCAGAAACGCCTAGGATTAGTGACTCATACAGTGGAAGAAGAAAAAAAAACAGTTCCGGTGCAAATGCTCTCAATTGCAATCTCAGACCATTCCTCAAAATTAAACACTTGACATCATTTCAGGTGGAAAGGACAAACTTGACAGAAAATTGGAAGTTGACTGGATACAGTCAAGGATACAATTTGGATATTTTTGCAACTTCCTTTAAAAAAATGGGGTCAGAAAGATTGACTATTTTTGAAAAGGCCAAAAGTCACAAATGGTCCTTGTGGTTTATGTTAACTGTTACTTTAACTACCTTGGTTCCGATTGTGTCAATTTTTCCCTTATGATTGATTTAAAAAACCAATTTTGATCAATTGTTCAGTTTTTGTCAATTCGCATAACGTCACGTTCACGTGCAAGAGCATTATAATTTTTCTGTATACAATCTCACTTGATAACTTGGTATCTGAAACAACTTTTTCGGTAAACTAGAGACTTGAAACAAAGATTTTTTGGGTTTATGTGGAGTGAAACTATCGTGATTCCAGATGATTATGTGGGATTGGATATAAAAATACTATAATGCCCATATACATGACCCACATGTGGTTTCCAAGTTACACAAAAATGATGAAAGTTGAACATTTAACTAAAATTTGTTTAGAAGTAAATCACATGGGAAAAATTGCTTAAACCACAAGAACCTATTTTGACATTTGTAACGGGGCAATGGAATTTTCAGAAAAATAGTTTAAACAACCAAAACGCTCTCCCTGTCCCTGGTTCGACAAAAAGATTTGTGATTGAGGAAGATGGAGATGATGAAGCCAACAAGAGACTTGACCATATATCCTTAATTTTATTGTGTTCTACTTGTGTCGATCAATTGATTTACGTTAATATGATGAATGAGTTCCTTTTGGGTTTAGATTCTACAAGTATAAGAATAGTGAGTTGAAATTTAACGCAGTAATAATGTACCAATATAACAATGTGTACCTGCAGAAATATGGGAGAATAGTCATTTGAATTCTGTGCATGAGAAGTAGGCGCCTGAGACGCTGATGAATGGCGACTGGGTGATGACTGGAGAACCGGAGCAGAGGCCTGCCTCGTCAATTCAGAAGGCATGTTGCCACTTCCCATTACAGCTGGCATGCCAACTCGATCTGCGAATGGGTGACCAAATGCTAACCAATCTTTCTCAACCAGTGCCTGCATCAAAGCACATAATTATATTTTATAGTGACTTCAAAATAAAAAATGCAAACTCTGTAATATTTTTAAATATCTACTTACAATATACACCCTAGGTTTCGGGAATCTTTAAAAAAGGAAATCAACGTTTCAACTTTTGAAACATTACCATATTAAAACTTAAACAGTTCAAGTCATTCTTTTGTCTAAGCCAAATCAAGCGAGAAAAAAAATGTCTGAGTGTGGTTTGATTGCCTTCTACAAATGGGCCCCTCACTTATTATGTAAAGAAATATAAGAGTCCTAGACAGTTAGACACAAGGACGACAACCCACAGAACAAAAGAAGAAATGCAATAGACACTCCAGCGTCAAAACTGCAGAAGAACAGCCCACAGAACAAAAGAAGAAATGCACTCCTTTCCACATAAAATGAGTTTATCTTATAGGGGTTTTTACCCATGAAATCTAAGAAAAACTAGCATCATAAATCAGGGCATCTTTCCAAGTATGTCCAGCAAATACCTGAAACCCAGTTAAAGTCCGATAGTATGGATCAAGCAACAAATTGGCAAGTGAAATCAGCTGAGTGGTTCTGTCCCATCCATCACTTAACAAAAGAGTTGCAAATTAGAGGTTAAAACACCGAAAATGGAAAAACTGAACCATCATGCCAGTTTGATGAAGTACAGGTATAGTAGACCTTACCTACAATGTACAAGCACTGATGCCGACTCCAAAGCAACACGAGCAGCAATCCAAGCAGAACCAGCCAAGACACTTTGAACATGTATTAACCAACCACTGTCCCCCAGTGTTGACACTGAAGCAGACATACTGCTTAGGTTACCTCCACCCCAAGTCCATCCACCATGTCTCTGTTAATATTAACAAGTATAAAACGTGTGTTCTTCTCTCCCACATCAAACACAACATTCTTCATTTATTAAATTGAGAAAAAAAGGCCATAACAAACTTGATCTTCCCTTCCTCTTTTCCTCTTTTTTTTTTTCTTTTCATTGTAAATACTTTCAACAATATTAATATTTAATTAGATATTTTTCTTCTCAAAAGACAAATATTCACATTTTAACCATGCTTCTTAGCAAGTCTCGAGATCAGTTAACAAAGACACTTTGGACACATGGGGGCCACAGGTTCACAACCTTTGAGATCCCCAAACTTCCATTCACTCAGAAATAATCCATCTACTTTTGGAATTGAAACCTTTGTATATAAATAACTCCCCTTTGGTAAAAACTAAAAACCATACATGTTGCAGAGTTTAAAAATCTTACTTCTAGGGAATAAATATATAGCCTTCACTTGTAGACCTGAGGCCTTATAGATCAGAGTGGCGTCTTTTAGTTTTCATTCATGCAATGTTAGACTGTTTTTGCTCTGTTTCCGCGTAAACAACATGTTCCCTGTTTAGTAATGTTCACTTTTATTCATGGAAGTATTTTTCTAGTACTACACACATACACACATATTGCGCTCTCACATACTGACTCTACCAACCACTAAGAGTAACTTTTACCTTTGAACAAAAAAACATGCAGCTATTATCAATTAATACAGCATACTTTATAGCCATCAAAATAAAAAAAAAATAAAAAAATAAAAATAAAAACTTAGAACCACAATTTAACACGGATAAAGAGCCCAGATATTCATAAGATAGCTAGACTAACCAAGAAAGATGACATTCCATCCGATGAAGCTGCACCATGAGTGTCTAAATAGTCTCTGAGTCTGGCAAAGCTCTCTCTCATTGCATGTATGTTGTCTATCCCAAAGAAAACTATCTGAATCACCCCAAAAGAAAAGAAATAGGAAGTTATATAATTATGATATTACACAGCCAAAGATGCATAAATAAAAAATCTAAAAGTTAGAGATACCTCAGATTGAGAATAATGTGAAGATGACTCAGAGCCACCTCCCATAGCACCATTAGCTAGAGCATTTTTTCGAGGCCTTGCATCGGCTATATATAACTTCCTGGAAATCAATCATTTCATAATATATAAATGTTCTGGAACGATACAACCTAACTAAATTATCAGAAAAATGATTAACACAACATCCACTTGTTGAACCGTAAACTATCATAAGCATAAAAAAATTGTGGAATAAGAAAAGAAATAAATGACAAGAGTGAGCATCAAGGACATAGACTGTTTAACCACCTATTAAAGGGAATATTCTTTGTTTTTTAACTGTTATTATGATTATTATTAGGGTTAACTACATTTACACCATCAAGGTTTGAGATTATTTTTAAAATGGACCATTAGGTTTCAATTTTCTCACATTGCCCCATAGGTTTTGAAATTGTATCAATTTACACCTTTTTTTGGATATTTGAAAGTCTAAATATCCATTAAGTTGATGAGTATTTTAGTCAATATGGTGCAAATGTGGCTTATATGTCATAGCAATTACAGGTTTCATGTTCACCATGCCATCAGTTTAATTATGATTCAAATAATTCATTAGACAAAAGGTGTAAATTGATACAATTTCAAAACCTTATGGGGGCAATGTGAGAAAATTGAAACCTCGTGGCCCATTTTGAAAATCACCCCAAACATGGAGGGTGTGAAATGTAATTAGCCCTTATTATTAACACTTCTTAATGCTTGTTGTATTGCAACATTGACAATACTAAGTCATTAATAAATAGATGCAACAAAAATAACTGAACGTGAAAAAATAACATAGATAAAAGTACAAAGCAACAAGTTGAACAAACCTATCACTTACCTCTGTTTGACTCTTGTACCAGCAAGTTGAGTGCAAAGTGCAGCAACAATCTTTTCATCTGTGTTACTGCAGACAAATCAACACATGTGGATATGTGGATCATCACCAATTGCATAACAAATCATGCAAAAAATATGATAATATATAGGTGCTCTAAATTCCAAGAATTAAAAGTAAACCAACTAAATATGTATGATATCATTTCCTTTTCAGGGTGGCCTCTTGACAGTCATGTATATCTACTCTCTGTGTGTGTGCAATACGAGAGGAGATTTCATTTTCAAAAGATGGATTATATTACCTCCTCATATTCATCATGAGACCAACTAAGGGTTGGGATGACCGTGCAAGAACTGCTCCCGTTTCTGTAAGTTGTCAAAGTTATTAGAACACAAGTATGAGTAGTATAACAAAAGGAGCAGCAAAAGGACTTATTTTTGGTGAAAATGAGAAAACGGATTTGATTTGATGGCAACAAGGAGACTTATTGCATACTTGGATGATACCATGTAACTACAGGCAAGCGACCTCTTGCTCGGAAGTTGGAAGCTTGAAGCACTTCTTCATCACTAGCGTCAGCAACCATGAAATAATTATTAGTTGCATAGTTCTAAAGTCAATGAAGTAAGACTAATTAAACCTAAAAAACGTAAGACAGAAGTATGAAATGATGGATCTTAAACTCTTACGTTATGGATTTTGGAACCATCAAGGCAAATGGATAACTCTGGCACATGATATAGCTGGAATTTATGCTACTTATCCTCCACAAATCATTAGAAAATGTGAATGACCCATCTTCAATCATATTCATAGATGCACGTAAGGACCCTTTCCCAAGAAGCCGAAAATACTCATTTAGTAACCGCACCTTTGGGTTGGTGTTACCAAATTTGGAAGGTCCAGAAACAAAAGCATAAAGATCCCACAGACTTGTTGGCTTTGTACAACTTGATAATGCATCAAATATTGCACGTCTCTGCAAGTTTTTTGTTTTGTTTTAAATACCCATGTTAGACAGCTGTTCACAACTTTAAAACAAATAAGTAACAAAATGAATTCACCATGATATTGAAAACCTTTTATGCTTCGAGACACACCAGCGAGATTCGTCAAGGTTATAGGCATAAAGTATAGACACAAGAAAGCAAGTATATGGATCACTTATTCTCTCAAGTTATTATTGTATAGTACTATATACATAATACTTTATTCTACACATGTGGACAAGACGTGCTGCTCCCCCTGTGCAGCTACTAATAACAATAATGAATTTGTTTAGCTGTTGTGGTTGCAGCTTTAGCTGCATTTATTTCCATCAAAGTATTGATGAGACTGCCCAACATACAACTCGACTTCTGCTCTGTTTCGTGAGAGTTGAAGCTAAAGCCTCACTTTTCATGACATGGTGAAAGGATAGTCCACCCCCGGTGTCGACTGTTGGCATTCACTTCTAACCATAATTTTAAGATTGGTTTCACCTATAATAAACTGCAAGTGTTCTTTATTTATGATGACTAGACTACTATCAGTTAAACATTCAATATAATGAAGAGCATTCAAGGATATTACAAGTGCAATTTGTCATAAAAAAGAAAAGTGTGGTCATAAATTGACTAAATTGGTTTTTGAGAGCGATGTTCAGTTTCGTCACAACATTTGCAAAACTATAGATAGCCTTTCATCATAATATTAAGATACAAAACCTTTAAAAGATATATATTGGAGTGAACCACAATGAAAAAGTATCGAGAAGTATTCACAATAATAATTTACCTGCCTTGTTTTAGGACGAAACCCAAAGACAATGGTCCTCATGTCTTTACCTGCAAAGTATAAATATTTGGATGGAAATGTGAACAAGAACTGTTTGAGAAAATCAAAGCAAACAATGGGGAGAATTTTAGCCTTATAAAACCATCAATATTTAGCAGCACTAAGCCAGATAACCATGTTATTGCAACGATGACCCATAATTTAGTAGCCTTGAGGATTTCTATATGGCTTAGTAGACATTTCCAAGAATCTATAAACTACTATTGAAATCGAAACTGGACTGAATTAGTTAAGATCTAACCAAGAATCCACACGTCTCTTCCTAAAACAATTGTCGAATGATACCGAACCTCACACGATAACAAAAAGAATTCATATAGTCATTTACATAAGTACTTCACACAAGTCTTACCAATGACCTGAAGAAGTCTTCTTGATGGAATCTTTTCGGATTGACGAGGGGTTGGCTGATTCTTTACAACCTACAAAGTCAAATAAATACAATGAAGTGGCTATTTCCACATCCAAAAGAAAAACACTAACTGGTGAAAAACAATATTGAAAAATTAAGACTAGCAGACATTTATAAATTTGTCTTTCTTGTTGGGTCCATTCAATCATCTAGATTAGACTCGAGAGAACCAAACCAAGGAAATTTAATTTGTCCTAAAGCTCTGTCATCTCTCAAAACATGGCAAAGAGGGAATTTATTCTCTGAAAAGAAAAATGTGAAGAGGACTACAGAGATAAATGGTGCAAAAAGAAAAAGACCATGCACCAAAATGGGCAGATCACTGATGTATTGTTCGTAGATCACCTGAGAAGTGGAACAACAAATTGGGAAAGCATGAAGGATATGACTCGATGGAGGTGGAAAGGACTTGAACGAGGAGATCTTTTATTTTAAAATTGTAATCAAATATTTCATGTCGACACATGTTATGTTTACTTACTTGGAATGGGGGAAGCCATGAAGAGGAAGGGAAAGAAGGAATGAGTATGGGATCAACTAGGCGCCGTAGTTGATATGATTCCTGATTTTTCTGGTATTTAACAAATTTTAATGTGAAACCCACATTTTTTAAAACAATTTCATATGAGTTAGTTAACGCATGGAAGTCATAATTTGAATAATTCCAATACCCATGTTTAGTAAATGCATGAAAGTCAAGAACCGGAATTATTTTTCCATGTAAGTAATGAAGCTCATAGTTCTTTGTAATAATAAATATGAAAACACTACTCACGATAAAAATATGTGACCAGGCATCTCCGTAAACTCTCCTCAATTAATTTCATCTCTACATCTTTCAAAGACGCAAGACTCGTAGAAAGGTTATAGATACAAATGTATTTGAGATTCGAGCACCACAAACGAGTTTATCACAATAATTGTTTTTCAACAATAAAAGTGTATACATGGAGATTAGAACTTACAATTTTGGTGAACTTCTCGATTGTTGCCAACGGTATCGTGCCAAGTGCAATAACATTCCTAGTTCCCTCACTCTTGAAAAACAACAGTAAGAATATCAAATTAGCTATTCTGGGGATAAATGTGGGACACACACAATACCAACACTATCACCATCATCAAATTACAGATGATTAAATATGTTACCATGTGTTTTACATTCCTCAAACCGTGAACAATTTATGTGCTATAAATTTCAGTAGCAGTAACATAAACAAGCAGAAAATATAATAAATGCAATGCCCACTGCAAGACTTTTTCTTTATCTTTTATTAACAAATCTTGAAGGTTTTTCTCCTCCATTGTTTTGGTTTTTAATTCTACCATCACCTTCTTCCTTCTCATCGTATGCACCAATTGCACAGATACTCACCCAAGTCTGTCCAACGTGTAAATTCCAGACCTTATATATAACAGCGTCTGCACCAACATATCTAATTTTAAGCTTCCCCAACCCCATCTGTTTCAAACTCACTCTTCTATGATAACTCACTCTAGATTGCCACATTACTAACATGAACTACGTTGTTACCAAAATTACTCGTCTTCAAACATGAACTTTACTCGGGCCATGCATAAAACGAACAGAATGAAACTTTAGAATGAAATTCACAGCACATCACATACCAGGAATAGAAGACGATAATTGGTCACTATCAAGGTGCCCGCCTCATCTGTATTAACAAGAACAACTCCATACCCCTAAAAGTAAACTTCGAATATCAGAAAACTTTGCAAGCATGCCATTATTTAAAACAGAAAACGCCACGTTACATCAATCTTTGATTTGTTCGTTGTTGTAGTTAATTGCAAAGAAAATCCTCCACAGCTAAGCATAATTAACCGAGAATTCGAAAATACAAGAACAAAAGAATTACATTATGATTAAACTATTAGCAAAAGAAAAATCACTATTTCTGCTTATTATTCAAGAATTCAATGTACCTCAACTTGGACTTGCTCGGCTTCAAGCAGGCACTCCAATTTCACATGCGAAACGGGCCGAGAAACGGACCGCGAAACCGGCTGCAAAACAAAATTTGAAGAGAAATTGAAGATTAAGAGCAGAGGCCAAAGTGAAGGAGGAACAAAATTGGAATAAAAATTGAAAACTTATAGATAAAGAACCCTAGGAGTGGAGGTAGAAGGGACGACCTCAATGGTCCAGTCGAGGGCGTCCCAGCTGCCGGTGGCCTCCATCTTCTCAGACTCGGAAGAGTCCATGAAAGACGTCGATCGACCTGAGCTGTGCTTCGGTGCTGCCATGCCACGACACGACGCCGTTCGTCTGACTTTTGACAAGATAATAGAGAGGGAGAGAGAGGTGAGGTTTTGTCGTGGTTGTTTGTTTCGTTGTTGGTGAATGAATCGGCAGGACGGGAGGGGAGAGGGGTTTACCTGCCTTTCAAAGGAATAGGCGGTTCGCACGCGATCTATTTTATTAAATTATTATTTTCGTGTGCGGAGGCGGACCACACCCATTCATGAATTTTAATTTACCAAAGCGGGTGAGCCCAAACAACAATACAAAAAGTAACAAAGCATATTGGGCAAGCGAAGCACACGTTCTCTCTAGCCATTTTAAAAAGCCTAATCGGATAAATGGTCCCCGTGGTCATATGGTATTCGGAAGATAGTCCTTGTGGTAAAAAAATTCGGATTTAAACCCATGTGGTCTAAGTCTGCTAGGATTTATGCCCCAAATTATAATTTCTGTTATTCCTCCGTTAGTTTAGGTGTTTTGGTTAAGGAGAACATTTGACTTTGGTCACATTTATTCCTCCCCATTGCCCAGCTCCACCGCCGCTACCCCGTTCCTCGCCTGGTCGCCTGCTAACTCTTCTCTGTGAGGAGTATTATTCGTCGTATTAAATCACGAAAATTAAAAACTCCATGCATCTTTGGTTGTATGATGGCTCCACCATCATTCAAAAATTCCAGAGCGAGAGAGAGAGACACACACGCGTATACACACACCCCAAATCACATACAGAAAATTACTCGCACATGTGGTTAGAACATAAAAACCATGGAACCGAATGAAGAAAACCCATGAAAGATTACCAGAAGAACAAGTGAAACAACACTGTAAAAGGTAAAAAGTAGAAAAGTGGGAAGAAGGTGTCACCTCCAGAGCGAAGCAGAGAAGCTGCAAAGAAGAAGGAGAAGCGGCTAAGAGGGAGCGAGAGAGTAAGGAGGAGAGTCTCCTAGCTGCCATATCCACCTGAGTGAGAAGAATACGTCAAAACCCAAAGCCTTATCTTTTGAATTTTGATGGTGGAATTGGCACGGCTGGCGACCCAGGCGAGGAACGGGGAAGCGGCGGCGGAGCTGGGGAATGGGGAGGAATAAATGTGACCAAAGTCAAATGTTCTCCTTAACCAAAACACCTAAACTAACGGAGGAATAACAGAAATTATAATTTGGGCATAAATCCTAACAGACTTAGACCACAGGGGTTTAAATCCGAATTTTTTTACCACATGGGCTATCGTCTGAATACCATATGATCACGGGGACCATTTATCCGATTAGGCCTTTTAAAAACAAAAATAAGAGATGTCCACGCAAACAACCAGTGTGGGATATGTTAGTGCTAGTTATGAATAGGCCGATCATGTATTGTCGCACATAAAGGTTCTAAAAACAAATACAAATAAGTAAATATGCTTGAACAACTGATAGTATTTCCTTTCTCATATTTATCATAGTTAAGAGGAGGTTAAGCATCCACGAGATTAACCAAAACAAAAATCGCAATGCAGTTTTTGAATCCACACAAGCAGAATAGCAAAATAGAAACTGCAATGCAATTTTTTAATCCACACAAAATAGAAACTGCAATGTCGTTTCTTCGCGCGAGAGTGATTTTTTTTTTAAACCAAACGCGAGAGTGATTTTAAGTGGCTGATATTAGCATATTGGTAAGGGTTAAAAACATCACTTCACATTCAATTATAGAAGTTTTGGGGCTTTTTCATTGACATGCGCCTAATTAATTAAAATATTTAATTAACTTTATTTTAAAGTCAGAGTCATAATATTAGTGGGTTAAATAGTTAGTCATTAGCAGTGTTATAAAAGTCGAGTCATAATAGGCGACAGTCAGCCACCGCGATTAACCTATAATCAAAAGGAAAATCGAGGAAGGTATTAGGTGGGCGTCGAGACAGTCCGGATGGCGCTTGGATGGCCTAGGCGGGTGATTGGATGGCCTAGGCGGTCTAGGCGTTTCACTTCCTTTTTCTGTTTTCAAAGTAAGGAAGGAGGAATGCAGCGCACTGTTTATGTTCTGGGTTTTGAGTTCCAATGAAGCAGACGAGAGGAAGAAGAAGAAGAGAGAAAATTCAGTTTCTCTCTCTTCAATTCTCACTCCAGGTGACCATCCCTTTCCCACTATCAAGTCTCACTTTTTCATATTTAATATATTTTAAACTATTATCCAATTAAAATAAAACACCTAGCATCCTATTTGCTTGTATACGCATAAAGAAGGGGACAGCTAGCACCTTAAAAACTAAATGTTATTAATGGTGCCCCACCTCCTTCCCTTCTATGCATCTTAGTTTCCACACTCCCTTTTCTTACGTAATAGTTTTAAATTGTTGATTAAATACTTTTTTTTTTTGTCAAATATTTTGTTTTCAAAATTAAATGATTTCTAAACGTATATTTGGCACCTTTATTCCCTTTTAAATGTGCTATATAGTGTATTATTCTATTTTTATTTTTGCATTTTATCATTTTTTTATTATTCATACAAGTATTATTTTTTAAAAATGTAAATAGACACTTATTTATAAGATATATAATAAATTTACATAAATCCGTCAAGACGCCCGCCTAGGCACTAGCCCCCTACCCGCCGCCCGACTAGCGCCTAACATTTTTTAGAAGAGGAGAATCGGTGGTAATCCTCTTCTGATAAACTGGAAAATCCATTAACCAGGGGCGAAAAGAGACGCCAAAGTTACGTACAAGGAAAAAAATCCGGGAAAACAACAAGAAGAAGAGCCAAAACGCAAAGGCTGACAGGAGGAAAACACACAAACAAACACGCTGCGTCAACAAGCTACAAATAAAACTCGAAAAGTATGCAAGTCATGTCCATCAATGGTTTCGTCTTCAACCACAACCCCAAACTCAACCACCGACAAGTCAAAAAACCGACACCCCAATCAATCTACAGCATTTGTGTGCGGGTGTGTGCGCGCATGCTTGCGCGTGTCTCTATGTATTTTGTTACTATTGTATGAAGCCAGAGAATTGCATTATCATGTAACCAAATCCTTTTGGGAAAATATAACCTCAGGTCAATTTCAAGAAAATATTTGGTGATTTGGAAATGTTCATGCTTCATTCCTCTTTGTGAATAGCTTCTCCAAGAGTAGTTGGGATCATATGGAACTGCGAGGGATTGTGGTGGTGGAGAAATTCTTCAGTGTGTCGTGACCCAGTAATAATACAAATACAATTAGTGGAAGCTTGAAAAAAATTCTCTCTCGCAGTGGTGGCCCTGCTGGGTTTGCGTTGGTACATATTCTAGGAGACCATTTTATTCATAAGGGTCAAATAGTAAAATAAAAATAATTTGGATTTAATTCATTAATTGTTGTAAAATTGTGAGAATTAATGCCCACAGTGAGGAAGACTTGAAAATAGTGATGTATTTGTTGTTGTGTAGTGTTTTCAAAAGTAGCAATCATTTCATTTGTTTGGTTTGTCACGGATGTTGCTCTATATAAAGAGCACTCCGTGTTTGGTCACAATACACATTGTAAAAGAAAAGAACTGAAAGTAATAATATCAATATCCCTCACTTTCTCTTTCTACCTGCAATCCTTTTGTATTATAGTGAAAGCAATAATATCAGTATCCCTCACTTTTTCTTTTTACCTGCAATCCTTTTATGTTATAGTTACGAAAGTGTGATATTTTGCACCTGCTTCGCTCATGTCCATAACAAAGGTTATCTCTATAACTTTTTGCCTATTTATTACATTAATTAAAATTTTCCAAATAAAAAAGTAAATTTCCGTACCATCACCTCTATTTCAATGATACAATGTTAATGCCTCTAAAGACATTACATTATTGGACTAGAACGTCACTTGACAATAAACTTGTTTTAAGAAAGTATTTTTCGGAAAAACCCGTTTTGTGTAAATCGTAAATTATTTGGCCATGAAATTGAATATATATTGCTTTTGGAGGTTCCAGATTTTCATTAAGAAGAAAGCATCATTCTATATTGCTTGCTTGCTCAAAAAAAACAAAAAAACAAAAAGCATAAAACAGGACACTGATGAGGAGCAAAAGCCAAATCAATATCCACCTAAACATATTTGTTGAGCGATCGACACGAATTAGACTGGACAAAGGATTTCATTCTCTCATCAACTGTATAGAATCAAGCTCAAGCTGTCTCATGAAAAATGCGTGATGGCCATAAGCTTTACGAGTCGAGCACGCCAAGTGCATGTCTGCAGCTCGTAACTTAGCCTGCAAATCTTTTGAAACCTAATTTGCAGGCACACACAGCGCTGCTAGTAAGAACAGATAAAAATGCTCAAACATTTGCAATGGTTTAACCCTAACCTTCCCACCCTGCCAAAACCCGCTTGTAAAACATGTTGCACACTAACTAAACCACTTGTCGAAACACCCTCGGAAATCTGACCAAAACAAGGTAAAGCTTACTGAAGATATGAGGACCTGGTAACACTAGAATGCGTTTGTTGCACCGAACTGTCTTGGACTAGACTAGTTGCAGAGACTAAGTTAGACTAGTTTAGACTATTCTAAGCTGGACTAACTTAGTGAAACATTTAGTACAGTATCAGACTAAATAACTAAAATAATAAAAATAATAATTAAATCTTATCTTTTACATTTTTTTCTTCCCTTTTCTAGGAAACTCTCCCACGCCCGAAAGCTCTCCATCTTTTTCTCCTGCCCCTCCAACTCCCTCTCACTCTCACTCTACTTTCCCCTTCATTGTCAAACTCCATCATCTTTTGGATGTTGAAATTGCAGACCATCAAACTTCATTCCTTTTCACTATTATCATCTAACTCCACCCTTTTCACAACTCAAGCATTTTTGAATAATATAATATGGGTTTTGTAATTGATTTTTGTTTTCTGGGTTTTGGCAGATCCGTATCTGAGTTTTGGTGGGCATCATGGAATTTGGCGACGATTTCGTGGCAGATGAAGGCACGGTCGAGCGGAGGTCAAGCAAGCCGAGGATCTGAGCATAGAAGAATTGTTGCCTCTTGACTGCGAGATTGATGATAAACACGAGATGCGCAGCGTAGTGAGTGACGAATCTGCCTGATTTTGGGTTTGAGTTCAAGGCGAGGAGAGAGGAAAGAGAGAGTGTTTCAGAAAGCAGGGGGAGGTCTTAGCTAGTCCCATAGTTTTCGGGGACTCTCGCTAAGAACCTTTAGTGTAGGCGAGTCCAGGCTAGTCTCATTAACACTAGTCCCGGATGATAACAAACACCGGACTGGGCTAATAGTTAGTCCAGTCTATTCCAGTTAGTGAGGGCAAACAAACGCCCCCATTCGCTAAAATAGGAACATGGAGAAAACCCTTTATGCCATTGCTAGATATACAAACATTATTTAAAAAAAAAAAACGTATAGCTGATAAA